TGTGTGTGTGTGTGTGTGTTTGGACACATGTCAATATTGTGTAAATTTTTCCCGCCCTTTTCTAACAGAAGTTAAGCTGCTTTTTCATTTGTCCACTAACCGTGAAAGCACAATAAACAGAATAAATACAAAGTAGCATATTAGCGTGTTTGTTCAGCAACCAGGTCAACTTCTTGAATTCTATGAAACCGTTTTCATATGCAGATGGCAGAAGGTAACCATTTCCAGCAGACTATCTTTTTTCAATATCCCCCCTATATTGTTAAAATATACTTAGATATTGATAACCTGGTTAATTGAATAATTTTAACATAACAATAAGATAGATGATAAAATGTTCAGATCACTCACATCTTCAAGTTCTTTCATGTAAGCTTCAGCCTTTTCAACATTGCTGTTATCTTCCATCAGCATAGAATTAGGTATTTCCACTTCCATCACTTTAATCTCTGATGGACTTTTAAGTCCAGGGGTTGAATGATTGTAAAGTAAATTGTTGGGCATACTCTCCACCTGACTTCATAGAAGGATATTTGAGTGATATATAGAGAAATAAAAATTTAGTATCTACAATGATCACACTTAAATATTGTCAATAGGGAGTTTGTGCTTAACGTTCCCTGTTATATGTGGCATAAAGTCTGTCTATTTATATTAGAAATCTAGGTATTGATTATTTATAATTAGATTGCCCGATTTTAGCAATTAAAATAATTGTGCCATTAGTGCTATTTATGGTTGTAGATATCTATGCAATATGTATAGATGAATGATATCACGATCAATGAAAGACATTAAAACGGAGTTCTTGAAAAATATCCTTAACTCGTGTATTTATCAGTACTACGCAGTAATCAGTAAAATATATGACAACACATTAGATATACCAATCCCTAAGCTTTGGTTGTGTACCTCTCCAATAACTTCTTCTGAAGATTCTTTAGAATCTCTGCAGTTAAGAATAGTTAAATGTCCAGAAGTGCCAGCTTAAGAAATTACATAATTTTTCATAAATAGAAGTTAAGGCAACCAACTATTTCTAAGAACCTGCTTTTACTAAGAGACTGAGAGATGCGCTTTAGGGACCTCAACGATGTAAAATCAGCTTCTGAAACCTGTGAAATTGAGCTTTAGGGTAACAAACGTAGCATATCTGTAACAATCAGCTTCTAAGCATTTCTTATGAAGTTCTTTTTACGTTCTACACTTTGTTTTCTTATTTGATGGGAAAAAAAATCATTCCAGCCATGTGAATGGGAGTCAACCAGTGAGTCGGTAATGACGACATTTGTAGATATAATGTGGCTTGTGAGTGTCAAATAATTTATGAGATGAATTTTCCCTTCAATCGTTCAAACGTTAAAATCTTTAAAAATGTCAAACCTCAATAGTTTTTCTCTTCAAGAATGGGGTTGAAGGCTTCTGATTGTTACCGATGTAAATAGGATTGTCATTCTTCGGTGCTGTAATACCCTGTATCTGAATGCTCTGGCCTGAGCTTACTATGGAGTTTGTTCCTTGTTGGTTTAAAGTTGTTAGAATCCTGTTAGCTCCAAAGTTCCCGACATAAAGAAAATTATTTAAACGTTCTCCGCAAGAAATTAAAGAGAACAGAAGAAAGAAGTACAACAACTTAGCTCTCAACCTTGAAGTTTTTAAGCTTGAAAGAGCAGGAGTGACCTTGCAATTTTTCGAAGTAAGTTTATTTCCTTCAACGGAAGTTATCCTTGATTTGTGAGAAGACTCCTTGCCTGAAGTTTCTGGTTGAGAATTTACAGATACTGCCTGGTTAGTAATTATAGCTGTCTTCTCTGTTAAGCAGGACAGATTAACTTGAGAACTGCAAAATTCCATAGAGAATATTATGCTCCAACTTATGATAATCCCAAACAACTTCAAAGCATAAATTATAACTAGAAACACGCTACACCCAAGCATTAATTTCCAGAAATCAACTAAAACGATGTAAAATATTAGAGTCTAAATACATTAAATGAAATGGTTAGCATTATTAACTAAAAAGAAAAAGAATCTATAGTAAGTAATCTCTAAGAAGTTTACCATAAATGAAACATCCAAGCATCAAAGGAAAGGAAACAAGTTTGATGAAGAATTAGGGACTAATTTTAATGAGAAAATTGGGGTCTATGATCACGGTAAGGACCAAAGCTCATATGAATAAAGATCTTTAGATTGTTTTTTTATCAAAGTGAAATAACATGTCTAGAAATAAAAAAGTTAAGAACCACGTAAACAAGCGATTATAGGGAACGAGACACAAATACTTGTAGAAAGATGCATCTACTTCATAGTCTTCCATCAACAAACTCTTGAACGTCATTCATCTCATTCTTCAATTAATTACTTTCACTCAATCAGGACATCTAATATTACTTGTCAACAATCATATTTTACTATTCCATATTTATCATATTACAATTAAAGTGTATAATGTAAATATCCTGAACCATAGGGATTTAATTATGTCCAGAATAATAAGGACTTGATATGTTATTATATTTCTAAAATTAGTTTTCCAATCTTGTATATATATCTGATGTACTTTTAGCAATTAATTTATTCTATTCTACCCTAATATTTAAAATGGTATCAAAACATTCAAATCTTGCGAGCCACATCTGATTGTACATCCAAACATCCTAGATGACAGCCTTCATTGCTGTCAGTAATCCAAAAATCGTAGACGACAACCTTCATTGTTGTCAAACATCTATTTGAAAGCCTCCTTAATTGTTGCCGTAATTTATTTTGTTGTTTATTGCCTTTGTCTTGCTGCAACCATGGCGGATTCAGTTGATACAATAACTGAAATACGGAAAATAAATCCCAAACTCATGGAAAGCCACCCAGAAGAGATTGGGCTCCCCAAAACTGTGACAAAGAGAGGGGAAAAAAGGGAGACAACATAAGAATGGGAGGAAAGACACACATAGCTGCTGAAAGTGAGGAAAACATAGGAGAATTGATTCAACCCAATCAAGATGAAATAGAGATAATAAGATTGTTTTGCAAAAATATTTGATAAACCAACAGGTACTTGTTCTCTAGCATGTTCATATTCAGTTACGTCTGGAAATTTTCCTTTTGCTGTTGGACTCAATGTTTCAGATAGATTCCATAATGAATGTGAGACATTGGATTCAGATGCCACTGATCACATGACTCCCCTACTGAATATTTGTCTTCCTACACCCCTCGTCCTAACAATAAGAAAATATTCACAGCAGATGTCACTTCCATCACAGCAGCAGGACAAGGAGAAGTTATAATAAACCAATCCATAACCCTAAAATTTGTCCTTCATATTCCCAAATTATCCGTCATTTTAATTCCCGTTAAAAAATTTGTGAAAGACCTATCATGTAATGTTATTTATGATGATGTTTATATGTTGCAGGACAAGCATTCAGAGAGAATGATTGGACATACTAGAAAACGGAATGACCTCTATCATTTGGACAACTCAAATATTTTCGCAAAACTAGACAACAATAGTAGTAGTTTTTCCTCTTCCTCAGATTTTAATAAACCCGAACAAAGAGAAGTTCCTTGGTCATCCTTCCTTTAGAGTCATAAAATTGTTATTTCCTTCCCGTTTTAATAGACTGGATGTGGAGAGTCTTCATTGTGAAATATGTGAAGTTCAAGCACAAGCGTGTACCTTTTGCAGTCAGTAATAAAATGAACTTCTCCCTTTTCTTTAATATATTGAAGTATGGAGTCCTCAATTATCTCGAATATATCTAGTACTCGTTGGTTCATTACCTGTTATAGATGATTGTACTATGGTTACATGGCTCTTCCTTCTAAAACAAAAATTTGAAGTCAGCTTTGTTGTTCAACCTTAGCGTTAAAAGGATTAGATCTGATAATGCCAAATATTAATTTAGTCATGAACTTAATTCCTTTCGTAGTAAGGAGAGTATCATTCATGAATTATCTTATAACAAAACACCACAACAAAAAGAGATTGCTGAAAGGAAAAATGGGCACTTGACCAAACTCAGGCTCTTCTTTTTCATCACAAGGTTCCTAAATCTTTTTGCGGGAGGCTGTTCTTACTACATGTTATCTAATTAATAGACTGCCTTTGTGTTCTAGCCTTAAAAGTCCTCTGTAAGTCCTGTCTTCTTTCTATCCTAATGTGACTACGTCAAATAAACTTATTCCAAGAATATTTGGGTGAGTATTGTTTATTCATGTCCATAGTGGTGCTAAAGGAAAACTTGAGCCTAGAGCCTTGAAATTTGGCTTTTGCAGGATACTCTCCCACACAAAAGGGATATAAATGTTATCATCCACCTTCCAATAAATTCTTTATGTTAAGAGATGTCACTTTTTCAGCAACAAAGTTACTTTCACCTTGAGCATTTTCAAGGGCAGACTATAAGAAAGGAAGATGATTTTCTACTACTGCCTCTTGATTTTATATTTGAACCAGAAACACCAGACATAGGAACTGAAAAAAGAAACAATTTCTGAGAAAGAAACAAAAGCTAAAAAAGAAACAAATTTTGAAAAAGAAGTTCAACCCACTGAACATATTAAATCCACTCAAGATGTGGATAATGTAAATTCTGGGAAAAATCTTGTTGATACAAGAAAGACAGGCCATTACAAAATCTGCCCATGTTCTTGAATCCAATCCAACATTGCATGAGGTAACTGTTTTTCCTAATCCTGTAATCTCTAGTGAATCAATCTCTGATTTCTCAACTGCTCAAAAACCTGAATCCAATTTGAAACGAACCTATAAGGACCTAGACATTCCAATTGCCTTAGGAAAGAGACTAGAAAATGTACCACCAAGCCAATAGTACCCTTTAGTCAATTATCTATCCTTTAAACACTTCTCCCCTACTTATAAAGTCTTTCTTACAAGCCTAGACACTACCTCTCTATTTGAGGCGTTGACTAACAGAAAATAGAAACAGGCCATGGACCTGGAAATGGAGGCACTAATAGTACTTAGGAACTGGTTACCCTTCCAAAAGGAAAAAAATCAGTAGGATGAAAATGGTTATATATATTATAAAATACAAGGTTGACAGATCCCACTGAAAAGTACAAGGCAAGGATAGTAGCCAAGCGATTCTCTCAAACTTGTGGACCAAATTACTTGGAAACATTTTCTCCCGTTGCAAAAATGAATACAACTAGGGTGATATCATTTCTAGCGATTAGTTATGGTTGGAACTTGCAACAATTTGATGTAAAAACTGTCTTCCTTCGTGGGAAACTTGAAGAAGAGATTTACAAGGAATTGTCCCCTGGATATGGTGAGAAAATTGTTGCCAACATCTAGCCAAGGAGTTAGAAATGAAGACCTTAGGAATTGAAATAGCCCTTTCTAAAAGGGCTATTTAATATCCCAATAGATAGTATGTAAGCCTGGTAAGATACATTATTGGTGAGATAGCATGTAAGCCTGCAAGTACACCAATTGATCCAAATATGAAGTTAGGAAATGCAAAAGAAGATACCATTTCGACAAGGAAATGTACCAGAGATTAGTTGGAAGACTAATACATTTGTCTTACACTAGACTTGATGTTGCATATGCAATGAGTCTAGTCAGTCAGTTTATGTATCACCCAAACGAGATTCACTTACGGGCTGTGCACTAAGAATTGTCCCAAAATTGGAGGAAAATCATTTTCCTCTTATTCAGTTTCATTTCACACATCTAATACATATATGTATACATACATTGATTGGATAATTTAGGAAACAAACACAGCCTATTCTAGGAATCAGATCCCTGAGATTGTGGGATTTATATGCTAGAAATAAGACCAAGATACAGCCAATATACAAAATTAAAACTAATAAGAATAAAATCTGAAACTTCCTAGAAATGTTGATAGAATAAAATCTAAAACTTCTAAAAATATCTACAAAAATTGTTCAATATTTGAAAGGAACTCCAAGCAAAGGAGTTTTGTTCAAACAAAATGGGAATGTAAATCTTGAAGTACATACAAATGCTGACTATGCTAGATCAGCTGTAGATAGGAAATCAACTACTGGAAATTGTGCATTTTTTGTATCCAAATCCTGGAACTTAGAAGAGCAAAAGCAAAATGTGGAAACAAGACCCAATTCTGAAGCAAAGTTCAAGACAATGGCATAAGGGATTTGTCAACAATGGCTGAAAATCATCTTGCAAGACTTAAGAATAAAGTGGGATGAATTAGTCAGACTTTAGTGTGAATAAATTTGCGATTAGCATAGCTCATAGCCCATAATTTGATGCAACATGATAGAACCAAACACATGGAAAGTGATTGGCATTTTATCAAAGAAAATTAGATAGTGGTAGAACCATGTCTCCTCTCAAAACAACCTTGTAGAACTTCTCACAAATGGGCTAAATAGCAACAACTTTGAAAGGATTGTTTCCAATATGGGAATGGAAAATGTATATTTACCAACTTAAAGGGGAGTGATAGGATATAATGGGTAATAGGTGCAGGAGAGAGAAAATAGTTTAGGAATTAATTGTTGTTGGGTAGTTAGAAGTGGGTTGCCTTTATAAGAAGGCAAGGGGGTCTGGTAGAGGGGGGACAACTTTTGAGTATTTTTTGTGTAAAGACAGGACTTTGGCATGTGGAGGGGGATTAGGCTCCCGTTAGTGCAATATGTGTACATTGTTTGAATAGCAATACAGAAACTGTTAGGTTCCTTTATTCAGGACACCAAACAAAACACACTATTCTCATAATAATAATTGAAACAGCAAAAGATGAAAGTATGTGTATGTATATTATTGAATCTGTAATGTATATCAAGAAGAAAATACAAGTAAATGTTCCCCANTGTCAAACCTCAATAGTTTTTCTCTTCAAGAATGGGGTTGAAGGCTTCTGATTGTTACCGATGTAAATAGGATTGTCATTCTTCGGTGCTGTAATACCCTGTATCTGAATGCTCTGGCCTGAGCTTACTATGGAGTTTGTTCCTTGTTGGTTTAAAGTTGTTAGAATCCTGTTAGCTCCAAAGTTCCCGACATAAAGAAAATTATTTAAACGTTCTCCGCAAGAAATTAAAGAGAACAGAAGAAAGAAGTACAACAACTTAGCTCTCAACCTTGAAGTTTTTAAGCTTGAAAGAGCAGGAGTGACCTTGCAATTTTTCGAAGTAAGTTTATTTCCTTCAACGGAAGTTATCCTTGATTTGTGAGAAGACTCCTTGCCTGAAGTTTCTGGTTGAGAATTTACAGATACTGCCTGGTTAGTAATTATAGCTGTCTTCTCTGTTAAGCAGGACAGATTAACTTGAGAACTGCAAAATTCCATAGAGAATATTATGCTCCAACTTATGATAATCCCAAACAACTTCAAAGCATAAATTATAACTAGAAACACGCTACACCCAAGCATTAATTTCCAGAAATCAACTAAAACGATGTAAAATATTAGAGTCTAAATACATTAAATGAAATGGTTAGCATTATTAACTAAAAAGAAAAAGAATCTATAGTAAGTAATCTCTAAGAAGTTTACCATAAATGAAACATCCAAGCATCAAAGGAAAGGAAACAAGTTTGATGAAGAATTAGGGACTAATTTTAATGAGAAAATTGGGGTCTATGATCACGGTAAGGACCAAAGCTCATATGAATAAAGATCTTTAGATTGTTTTTTTATCAAAGTGAAATAACATGTCTAGAAATAAAAAAGTTAAGAACCACGTAAACAAGCGATTATAGGGAACGAGACACAAATACTTGTAGAAAGATGCATCTACTTCATAGTCTTCCATCAACAAACTCTTGAACGTCATTCATCTCATTCTTCAATTAATTACTTTCACTCAATCAGGACATCTAATATTACTTGTCAACAATCATATTTTACTATTCCATATTTATCATATTACAATTAAAGTGTATAATGTAAATATCCTGAACCATAGGGATTTAATTATGTCCAGAATAATAAGGACTTGATATGTTATTATATTTCTAAAATTAGTTTTCCAATCTTGTATATATATCTGATGTACTTTTAGCAATTAATTTATTCTATTCTACCCTAATATTTAAAATGGTATCAAAACATTCAAATCTTGCGAGCCACATCTGATTGTACATCCAAACATCCTAGATGACAGCCTTCATTGCTGTCAGTAATCCAAAAATCGTAGACGACAACCTTCATTGTTGTCAAACATCTATTTGAAAGCCTCCTTAATTGTTGCCGTAATTTATTTTGTTGTTTATTGCCTTTGTCTTGCTGCAACCATGGCGGATTCAGTTGATACAATAACTGAAATACGGAAAATAAATCCCAAACTCATGGAAAGCCACCCAGAAGAGATTGGGCTCCCCAAAACTGTGACAAAGAGAGGGGAAAAAAGGGAGACAACATAAGAATGGGAGGAAAGACACACATAGCTGCTGAAAGTGAGGAAAACATAGGAGAATTGATTCAACCCAATCAAGATGAAATAGAGATAATAAGATTGTTTTGCAAAAATATTTGATAAACCAACAGGTACTTGTTCTCTAGCATGTTCATATTCAGTTACGTCTGGAAATTTTCCTTTTGCTGTTGGACTCAATGTTTCAGATAGATTCCATAATGAATGTGAGACATTGGATTCAGATGCCACTGATCACATGACTCCCCTACTGAATATTTGTCTTCCTACACCCCTCGTCCTAACAATAAGAAAATATTCACAGCAGATGTCACTTCCATCACAGCAGCAGGACAAGGAGAAGTTATAATAAACCAATCCATAACCCTAAAATTTGTCCTTCATATTCCCAAATTATCCGTCATTTTAATTCCCGTTAAAAAATTTGTGAAAGACCTATCATGTAATGTTATTTATGATGATGTTTATATGTTGCAGGACAAGCATTCAGAGAGAATGATTGGACATACTAGAAAACGGAATGACCTCTATCATTTGGACAACTCAAATATTTTCGCAAAACTAGACAACAATAGTAGTAGTTTTTCCTCTTCCTCAGATTTTAATAAACCCGAACAAAGAGAAGTTCCTTGGTCATCCTTCCTTTAGAGTCATAAAATTGTTATTTCCTTCCCGTTTTAATAGACTGGATGTGGAGAGTCTTCATTGTGAAATATGTGAAGTTCAAGCACAAGCGTGTACCTTTTGCAGTCAGTAATAAAATGAACTTCTCCCTTTTCTTTAATATATTGAAGTATGGAGTCCTCAATTATCTCGAATATATCTAGTACTCGTTGGTTCATTACCTGTTATAGATGATTGTACTATGGTTACATGGCTCTTCCTTCTAAAACAAAAATTTGAAGTCAGCTTTGTTGTTCAACCTTAGCGTTAAAAGGATTAGATCTGATAATGCCAAATATTAATTTAGTCATGAACTTAATTCCTTTCGTAGTAAGGAGAGTATCATTCATGAATTATCTTATAACAAAACACCACAACAAAAAGAGATTGCTGAAAGGAAAAATGGGCACTTGACCAAACTCAGGCTCTTCTTTTTCATCACAAGGTTCCTAAATCTTTTTGCGGGAGGCTGTTCTTACTACATGTTATCTAATTAATAGACTGCCTTTGTGTTCTAGCCTTAAAAGTCCTCTGTAAGTCCTGTCTTCTTTCTATCCTAATGTGACTACGTCAAATAAACTTATTCCAAGAATATTTGGGTGAGTATTGTTTATTCATGTCCATAGTGGTGCTAAAGGAAAACTTGAGCCTAGAGCCTTGAAATTTGGCTTTTGCAGGATACTCTCCCACACAAAAGGGATATAAATGTTATCATCCACCTTCCAATAAATTCTTTATGTTAAGAGATGTCACTTTTTCAGCAACAAAGTTACTTTCACCTTGAGCATTTTCAAGGGCAGACTATAAGAAAGGAAGATGATTTTCTACTACTGCCTCTTGATTTTATATTTGAACCAGAAACACCAGACATAGGAACTGAAAAAAGAAACAATTTCTGAGAAAGAAACAAAAGCTAAAAAAGAAACAAATTTTGAAAAAGAAGTTCAACCCACTGAACATATTAAATCCACTCAAGATGTGGATAATGTAAATTCTGGGAAAAATCTTGTTGATACAAGAAAGACAGGCCATTACAAAATCTGCCCATGTTCTTGAATCCAATCCAACATTGCATGAGGTAACTGTTTTTCCTAATCCTGTAATCTCTAGTGAATCAATCTCTGATTTCTCAACTGCTCAAAAACCTGAATCCAATTTGAAACGAACCTATAAGGACCTAGACATTCCAATTGCCTTAGGAAAGAGACTAGAAAATGTACCACCAAGCCAATAGTACCCTTTAGTCAATTATCTATCCTTTAAACACTTCTCCCCTACTTATAAAGTCTTTCTTACAAGCCTAGACACTACCTCTCTATTTGAGGCGTTGACTAACAGAAAATAGAAACAGGCCATGGACCTGGAAATGGAGGCACTAATAGTACTTAGGAACTGGTTACCCTTCCAAAAGGAAAAAAATCAGTAGGATGAAAATGGTTATATATATTATAAAATACAAGGTTGACAGATCCCACTGAAAAGTACAAGGCAAGGATAGTAGCCAAGCGATTCTCTCAAACTTGTGGACCAAATTACTTGGAAACATTTTCTCCCGTTGCAAAAATGAATACAACTAGGGTGATATCATTTCTAGCGATTAGTTATGGTTGGAACTTGCAACAATTTGATGTAAAAACTGTCTTCCTTCGTGGGAAACTTGAAGAAGAGATTTACAAGGAATTGTCCCCTGGATATGGTGAGAAAATTGTTGCCAACATCTAGCCAAGGAGTTAGAAATGAAGACCTTAGGAATTGAAATAGCCCTTTCTAAAAGGGCTATTTAATATCCCAATAGATAGTATGTAAGCCTGGTAAGATACATTATTGGTGAGATAGCATGTAAGCCTGCAAGTACACCAATTGATCCAAATATGAAGTTAGGAAATGCAAAAGAAGATACCATTTCGACAAGGAAATGTACCAGAGATTAGTTGGAAGACTAATACATTTGTCTTACACTAGACTTGATGTTGCATATGCAATGAGTCTAGTCAGTCAGTTTATGTATCACCCAAACGAGATTCACTTACGGGCTGTGCACTAAGAATTGTCCCAAAATTGGAGGAAAATCATTTTCCTCTTATTCAGTTTCATTTCACACATCTAATACATATATGTATACATACATTGATTGGATAATTTAGGAAACAAACACAGCCTATTCTAGGAATCAGATCCCTGAGATTGTGGGATTTATATGCTAGAAATAAGACCAAGATACAGCCAATATACAAAATTAAAACTAATAAGAATAAAATCTGAAACTTCCTAGAAATGTTGATAGAATAAAATCTAAAACTTCTAAAAATATCTACAAAAATTGTTCAATATTTGAAAGGAACTCCAAGCAAAGGAGTTTTGTTCAAACAAAATGGGAATGTAAATCTTGAAGTACATACAAATGCTGACTATGCTAGATCAGCTGTAGATAGGAAATCAACTACTGGAAATTGTGCATTTTTTGTATCCAAATCCTGGAACTTAGAAGAGCAAAAGCAAAATGTGGAAACAAGACCCAATTCTGAAGCAAAGTTCAAGACAATGGCATAAGGGATTTGTCAACAATGGCTGAAAATCATCTTGCAAGACTTAAGAATAAAGTGGGATGAATTAGTCAGACTTTAGTGTGAATAAATTTGCGATTAGCATAGCTCATAGCCCATAATTTGATGCAACATGATAGAACCAAACACATGGAAAGTGATTGGCATTTTATCAAAGAAAATTAGATAGTGGTAGAACCATGTCTCCTCTCAAAACAACCTTGTAGAACTTCTCACAAATGGGCTAAATAGCAACAACTTTGAAAGGATTGTTTCCAATATGGGAATGGAAAATGTATATTTACCAACTTAAAGGGGAGTGATAGGATATAATGGGTAATAGGTGCAGGAGAGAGAAAATAGTTTAGGAATTAATTGTTGTTGGGTAGTTAGAAGTGGGTTGCCTTTATAAGAAGGCAAGGGGGTCTGGTAGAGGGGGGACAACTTTTGAGTATTTTTTGTGTAAAGACAGGACTTTGGCATGTGGAGGGGGATTAGGCTCCCGTTAGTGCAATATGTGTACATTGTTTGAATAGCAATACAGAAACTGTTAGGTTCCTTTATTCAGGACACCAAACAAAACACACTATTCTCATAATAATAATTGAAACAGCAAAAGATGAAAGTATGTGTATGTATATTATTGAATCTGTAATGTATATCAAGAAGAAAATACAAGTAAATGTTCCCCAAGGAAACCTCCCTTCCTCCACTGGCCTAGAGGTCCAATCTAAACCAAAACAAAATATCTGATACCCTCCTCAGCCAACTCAGCCTTTATTTATACTCTCTCTCTCCCCCTAACAAACTTTCCCGCTATTTAGTTCCCTAACATTAACTCTCTACCGTTCGGTATTATCACTTTATACCGTTCGGCACTTCGCTCCTTCCTCCTTGCAGCCACCATTCGGTATTAATATATATACCGTTCGGCCCTTACTTCCCTCCTCTTTTATTCCTCCTCTCATATACCTTTAGCTTCCTAACATTACCCTCCCCTTCAACATCAACCTTGTTCTCAAGGTTGAAGTCAGGGAACTGTTGTCTGATGTAATACTCCTCTTCCCAAGTGGCGCCCTCCAATCCACCTTGTTGCCATTGTATTTGAACTTGGGGTATCTCCTCCCCGTGTTGCATTTTGTTTCGCCTCTGTAACACTTTCTTTGGAGCATATATGGGTCGGTCATTCTGTAAGTCAACTGGTAAGGCACCTTCAACTGTATGTGCACCAATGGCTAACTTTAGCTGGGAGACGTGGAAAACTGGGTGGATTCGCGTTGTTTCCAGTAGCCGCAACTGGAAAGCTACCGGCCCCACTTGTTTCTCCACTAGGAATGGTCCATAATACCGCGCGGTTAGCTTAGGATGTAGTCGGCCAGGCATAGACGTTTGTCTATGAGGTCTGATTTTAAGGAAAACCCGATCCCCTTCCTTGATCGAGGCTTCTTTTCTTTTCTTATTAACATAATGAGTCATCTTATCTGGGCCCTTGCGAGATGATACCGCAACTGTTTTAGTGCTTCATCGCGGGTTTGCAAATCTTGAGCGAGTGATTCTACTATTGTCTCGCCTGGTATGTAGCCTATTATGGTTGGTGCTGATCTCCCGTAAAATGACTCAAAAGGTGTGCATTTAGAAGCTCCCTGGTAGCTGGTATTATACCAGTATTTTGCCCATGGTAGCACCAAACTCTAGACCTTGGGCTGCTCTAAACTGAAACAACGTAAATATGTCTCCAACACACGGTTTAGAACTTCTATTTGCCTATCCGTTTTTGGATGGTAGGCAATGCTCATGCGGAGCTGTGTTCCTTGCAACCTGAAAATCTCCTTCCAAAAATAAGTTGATGAAAGCGGGGTCCCTGTCACTCACAATAGATAGCAGAATCCCATGAAGTCTGATCACTTCCTTCACAAAAATTTCTACTATGGATTTGGCAGTGTAGGGGTGTTTAATGGGAATAAAATGCCCATATTTACTTAACCTATCCACAACTACCAGTATTGGGTCATATCCTTGGGATTTTGGTAGTTTCACCACAAAATCCATGGTAATTTCCTCCCATATCGCCTGAGGAATGGGTAGTGGTTGAAGAAGCCCTTAAGGTGAAGATGCTATATACTTATGTTGTTGACAAACTAAGCAAGCAGCCACATATTCTGTTACAGTCTTCTTCATGCCCACCCAATGGAGCGACTATGCGATCCTCTTATAAGTTCTATAAACTCCCAAGTGCCCTCCCGTCAACATGTTGTGAAATTCTCCTAGCAGTTTCGGTATCCACTCAGACTGAGCAGAGAGAACTAGCTTCCCTTTATAATGTAATCTCCCGTTCTCCATTGATAAGCCGAACGAGAGTCTGGGTCAGCCTTTAACTCTACCATAATTTTTTTCTTTCAAACTAGCATCCCTTTCTACCTCTTCCATTAATTCTTGAAACTCTGGCCAGATCGGTCTGGATATCAATTTCAGCACCTTTTCTCCCAACTCTAAAGCAAGCACTCTCTCTCCACAGGAACAACCTCCGATCAACACAATGAATATAGTTGAATATAGTGAAAACTTCCTTGTGTTCAATATACACATAGGGTCCTCTATTTATAATAGAACAAATATGAATTATAATAGAACAAATATGAACTAAGTCGAAAATACAAATAAGAAATAATAACAAACTAGTAAATAAAGATAAAAGATAAAGATAATATATCTAACAAATATCAAAAGCTCTCCTGACCCAAGGCCTCTCTGCCTTCTTGTAAAGCCCCCAAACCAACTAACCAACTAACAACTAAATCCTAATTTGTTTCCTTCTCTCCTGCACCCATTATATCCTATCACATTATATCCTATCAGTTTAATTACTTCTGACAAAGATGTTCTAACACTTCCAAGGGACAAACCTCCCTTCACAGGATGTATACTCCTGTCTTACAAAGAATACAACTCCAAAAAATTCCCTCTCAAAGACCCTTCTCCCCTCCTATATACACAACCCTACCCCCAACTACCAAACAGACCCACAACTAAGTCAGACAACTAGTTATCTGTTTTTCTGTTTCTCCTAACATAAACTCTTTAAGGGTATCGAAGGTTGTGATGGGTCTACCCAAACCGAAGGTCGAGACGATCCGGTTGGATTAAAGATCGAGACAATTCAAGATCGAAATTTGGCCAAATTCTGCCACCACTGAAATTAACAATAAATATAAAAAAATTAAACGATACAAACTCAATTGAAAAATATAAAAATTGAGGACTTAATAGATAGAAAAAAATTAATATGAACTCAATTAAAAATACTCAAATTTATAAAGAACTTAAAACTTAATTAGGCTTATTTTATATGCAAGATATTCTTTTAATTTAATTTTTTTAAAAGAAAATCGGTTTGAATTAGTATATCATTTTTATCGTATTCTATATTTTTTTTTACTATAAAATTAGTTATTATTTAAATATTTTGTTCATTTTATCTCATAGGATTCATAAGTTTATTTATCATCATTGTATTCAAAATAAATAAACAATAATTTATGACTCAATAATCATGGTTGTAAATATTTCTCTATTTACTTAGATCAAATCATATCTCTTCCAGAAGTTACCTTACCTCAACATATGAACATCTTTGTTTGGCACGGCCCTTTCTAGACATGTGATCTTGCTGTTATTTACTTCTTCACAAAATGATTGTTTATTTCCTGCCAACGTTCCTGAACATGGTGTAACATCACAAACAATGCCCTCCCTGATCATGATCAGAAGTAACAGTCGCATTCATTACAAGGAAGTAACAAATCTAATTTCTACCAAAATATCATCTATGAAGACAGTGGAAAAGAGTCACTATAAAGTAAGAAACTTATAGCTTTACAGATTTCCAGGAACATACATATTACCTGGTATTGCTACTACTTATAAGATCATCTTTACTACCAAGCAATGCTCCTGCATCCCTCATTAGTTTGCTGGAATCCGTGATGGAATCACCTGTCATTTTGCTTCCAAATCTTGTGTCTTTTGACCTCAAGTTCTCCCTGTTAAGAGATATAAATCAGACATTCTACCATTGTAGACAATAACTATAATAGTTTCACAAGCATAATACCGTTTTTGAGTGATGGATCCAAGGACCATGTCAGCATTTTTTTTGTTGCCAAGGGAAATACCCTTGGTCCCAACTGTTGACGACGGTTGTTTTAAAGATCTGTTGCCCTCTGGTGTGCTAAACACACTTGACTGCATATCATGGAGTTTATTATCTTTAATCAACACCATGTTTTCGGCAACAGATTTACTGCATCAAATGAGTGAAATCATGAAAACAGCATATATCTGAAGAAAAAAAAAGCATGCCTCCTACCTTACAGAACAGAATTGTAAGAAACTCAGCTAATAACAGAAAGAAACTATAATGCTAACATTCATAAAGACAATAGTAAAATGATCGTAACAATTTTACCTCCTTGCAAGAGCCAAATCACACACTGAAGTTGTTTCTTTGTTTTCTTTGTTGTCATTGTCACATGAAATCTTCTTCAAGGCATCAGCTTTAGTAATATTTTCATAACTTGTATACCTATTTTCTGGCTGAGGGTCATTAGTGACTCCTTGGGCATTTCTACCTAGAGCAATTGCTTCTCCAACATTGTTATCTGACTTAGTGATGTGATGTGGGGAGGAATGCTCCAATTGTAAGTCAACGGTATCAGGCTTCATATTTGTTGCCTTATCATTAATCTCTTGCCTGTCATCCGAAACATTAATTTTTCTGGTTCCGGAAGAAAACACTTCTGTACATTGATATGTTGTCCTAAGATTAGTTTCTTGTTTATCTCCAGATACATTACTGACTCTTATTCCAGATGAAATAACCTCTGTATGCTGGTCTGAGATAGTGTGCTGTTCTGAATCACTCTGACCTACCGATTGAGAACATGGCACATTGTTAACCTGCTCAGATATTGATTCTGTTAAATTTGCCTTTTCAGGTAAGTCTATTTCTTGCATGTCAAGATTCCCAGAGGAAGAAATTCTGGAAACAGGACCATCCTGTTTGAATACTAGATTCCCTAGGCTACCAACCATAGTCTCAGCCTTAAAAGTTTCAAGCTCCTCTGATGCATGGGAATTCACAGCCGTGCTATCAACAGATGCATGAGCACCTTCATCATTATTGGTTTTAGGCCTTTTAGCATCCTCTTTATCACTTCCTTCTTTGCTTACTACCTTTTTTCTTGGACTACTGTTTGAAGTAGTATCTACTTGCACGAAGCTTGAATCAAGATTGAAGCTATCCAACCTATGCCATCAAAAGATGCACAATTTTGAGAATAAATATACCTTCAAATCACTCAACCGATGCTTCAGAAACCAAAAATAACAAATATGTACATTAAATGAATATAGCCTCAAATATCTTCTTACTCATTAAAATCAAAGCTGAAATTAAACTCATCTTGCTTTCCTCCTTTTGCACCAGAAATTTCTCCTTTCTTATCCTTGGACTGGGTATTCTTCTTTGGCGGGCATGTAAAATCAAGATCTGACATGTCCAACTTAAATGATGATATCTTGTCAAACTCACCATCCAGATTAAAATTAAGGTCCCTAACCAAGGATTATTTGTAACTCATCGAATTAGAAACTACAAACTCGTAAGCCAAAATTGTACAACATAAGCACATATGTTTATCATGGTAATCTGTTGCTTAAATGGAAATCTCTTTTATATAAAGCATCATAATCACTATAGATATGAAAAATAGATAAAAATTATGAAAACTTAATTCATTATATCAATCTTCTCCAGTTTAAGTGTAAAATATTGAACCTGTCAAACTAAAGCCTCTTGAAACAGAAGGATTCAGAATGAAACCAATGTCAGCACCCTTGTCGTCTGTATTTCACTTTTCAAAACCTAAATTATTAACTTCATGTATGTTAGGAAGACTTACATTTTTTCAAAATCAAATGGCTTCTTCTTTCCTTTAGAAACAGTGTCAAAGCCAAAGTCAATTCCATCATCATCTGCCATTGACATGGACTTCCAGGAGCTAAGAAAATTCTTTCCAATTTCATCACCTATTTGAATTGAAAAATGCAAAAAAATTGTTTAATACTTGCATATATCCTTATTGTTGTTTTTACTCAATCACGAGAGAAGAAAATGTTTGGTTTTTGCAAGGACTAGGTGAGAATGCAATCTCACAATTACAAGAAATTGCAAGCACCTAAGTATGGTGTGAAGCTATTTTAAAAAGTTTTAAGAAAAAAAATTAAATTAGTAGCCTTAAGTATGGTGTGAAGCTATTTTAGAAAGTTTTTTACTCTGCTGAACTTTCTTTTCCCTGTTGTTATTATAATTTTGTTTTCAATTCATACTCCAAGGCAGTTGAAGATAATCCATGGTTGGATTTGCAGTAAGAGTGTTTCATTTGGACAAACCAAAGTCCTGTTTTCCATCCAAAATGACATCAAGTTAAGGGAAGAATAAGGACTTCACCCAGAACACTATAAATGAAGTGCAATAATTGCTATGCTTATCTAACTTTTATGAACCAAAACATACTAGTTCCAAAACAGCGCTGACTAGTAAATTCTATTCAAAAATTGAATGCACTGTCATATGCAATCAAGTCCAAGATCATCCACTCCTTCCTCTCATACTGTTACCTGTTTCCGATAAAGAACAAGAAAGAATCTACTTCTCATACTGTTACCTGTTTCCGATAAAAAAACAATATAGAGAAAAACCTCGTGATGATTTTTTCTCCTTTGAATCTGCAGGTGAGGATTCCTTGTGTTCTTCTGTCATTCCTTAAGGTTGCTAAAGTTTTTGATCTACACCACAGCCATTACAAAATCTCCAAATTCAAATTAAAAAGTAGGGAATAAATATATTAACATACAAGTTCCTTGGCCACTCTTGTGACTAAGAAAGAATGAATCAATCAAGCACTAGTGAAAATAATCCATGAAAATATGAATCACTAAAAAGTAACGATAATAAAAGAATAGAGAAAGTTACAATATTGGATATCCTGGCAAGCATATTTCTAACCAGCATAACGTTGCAGATCACTCTTTCAGCTAATTCTCCTAAATCAGAAATTTGTTCCTCAATAGATCATCAATCGTAAACATTACCAAAAAGATATAACAACTGCAGTTTGATATATTTACGAGTGTTCCAATAATCGCATTAGATGAAAAGAAACAAAGGTATATGCATAGTTGATTACGATTGTTAGACATAGTTGATTTAAACTTAAAAGAAACTCATAAATCAAGTATACCCTAATCTATGACTTTTCAACAACCGAAATCAGTTGAACTTCATTGACATCAAACTTCATAAAATATTACCGTAATTGCAGCTGAGACACGCACGAAATGTGGATATTCGCAAAAAAATGCGCGACTTACCTATCCCTGAAGTGGTTAAGAGAAGGTGGGGATTTTTTATTTCCGCAACTGCATGAATGAGAGTGAGGATAGACTGTGATAATGTTTCTGTTAGGTTCTGATGAGAGAAAAAACAAACGAGAGAACATCCAGAGTTTGGCTAAAAGAAAATGAACATGGAAAATAGGCACTGCTTGATCGAATTAATTTATAAACAATAACGGCTTCTAACTCCAGAGTCCAAATTTAAGAAGCGCGGGAAACGCGAAAGCAAAAAGGAAATGAGGATGATTAAAACATAGATGAAAAAAAAAATGAACTGAGATTACATAATGGAGGAAAAAGTATCGACATTAAAATCAGGGTATTTTAACTTGCTAGTAAAACGAATTTCCGCTAAACGTAAAATTAAATTACACATTTTCTTTTTGTATTTGATTAATTAAATTAATTTTTTAAGTAAGACATTTATCTATTTTAACTACGTACATGTATAATAGGAAAATGATGTAGGTGCCCACATGCTATGATAAGTGATAAGTGTAGTGTATAGCTCGATTTTGGTGATTTAAAGGTGATGAGATGGTGGTATTAGAGTACTCTCAAGGAAAGCTAGGTCAATTTCTAAATAAAGTTGCTAAAAGAAATTTAAATTTTAAGTTTGTGATCTAAGTTGAGTAGTGTAATACAAAATTAACAACATACTTTATTTAAATTCAAAGGTCAATTTAAATGGAGAAGAGACACATCTACTTATAAATTTAAGTAATTATAAAAATGTTTTCAAATTGTAAAAGCAAATCTTTAATACTTTATTTTGGAAACCAGTATAAAATTATTTCCATAAAGAGTATGGCACATAATATATTCTCTATTAAGAGTATTATACATGGTGACTACTAAGAATAAATCTTCTCTATTAAAAGCATGACTCGTAACATATCTCCTAATCATGAGCAAACGTATTCAATAAAAATTGAGTAGCCAAGACATCACCCTATCATAACCACTTGGCCTATTATGAAAAAATTCTTGAATAGATGAACTTTCAACCCTCCTCGTTAGCTCCTCCCTTACTCAAGACCCACTTGAAGACCCTAAGGAAATAAACCATGAAGTCATAATTAAATAAAAATGATTCACTATTCTTAGTTAGGGTCAAATAAACATGATCCCGTAACAAAAGAAAAACTTACTTATAAATTTATATAAAATGACCAATTGTCATCAATCCCTTGCTCCAAGTCATTAAATCTTATAATTTCATAATATCTCTTCTTAATCTTAATAAAATAACCTGTCATCTTAATAAAACAACCTTCATTATTAACTAACTTTCAATGTGAATATTTTGTTTCCCTATATTCCACTGAAGAACTACCATACTAGGACAATCAATAAGCTTAAGATAAAAAAACAAAAACTATAAAAAAAAGTGACATTTTTTCTTTTTAAAACATTGACTCTCAGTCTATAGTCAAACTTGAAAGACTAGTATATCATACAAGACCACGATAATGATATTCATACGAAACAATATCAATGTCTTATAATAAAATAACATCATTATTGGATTAATCACTTACAAAACATTTTTTAAAGTGATAAACAACACTTACTCTTTCTGTTGAATAAATTTTTTCTCAAGCTCTTTTAAATTTTTTTTGAAACTTACCAATTAACAATAAACTGTTTCTGGAATCGTCAAATTTTCAATTTATTAGTTAAATCTCTTTCATTTTTCATTTAACACGTATCATATCTAGTTAAATGACACTTTCCAGTGATATTTAAAGCTAAATTTCATAGTCATGTATAACTATACAAAATATTTTCATTTTAATTAATTTTTGTTATTTCTAATACAAATCTATTAAGTTAAGATCACATTATAGACACAATTGCATAAATATAATAACTTTATTTTGTTTTTCAACATAAATTCAATTTTCTAAAAATATTTTTTTTTAATATAGAAACTTTACATTTTTATATGTTAGTTCTTTTATCAGATCTATTAATTTATAACTAAAAAATAATATTTAAGCGAATATTTTTGCAATAAAAAAAGTTAATAACAATGTGTTATAATCGAACAATAATTATATCTTCTATGTTTTATTTGAGAAAGAAGTGTTTCTTTTACCATTTTAATACCATGACAATACGAAGAAGGAGAAGAAATATAACTTTTTGTTTTATAAAATATATATTTTTCTTTTAAAAATACTATTAAAATTATAATTTAAACACAAATAAAAAGTTTGTTGTAGTTGACACGCTGCTTCGTTCCCTTTGATTCGTGGAACGCCGTCGCCTGAAGCTGCTGCCCCTCGTGAAGTTTTGTTCTGTGCCGTCGTTAGGTTAGTTCATCCATTTCACTTTCGCTTTATCTTTCTTTGATCACAATTATACCGTGAAGGAGTCTGTTCTTGTTAGTGCCAGTCATCGAGAAAATCGTTTACTTGGTTTTAAATTGGTTTCTTCTTCTGCCACTGAGATTTTGGATCTTCTCGAAAAAGATGAGCCTTATGCAATTTCTGTTCGTTTCGACGAATTTCAAAGCCGTTCTTGGCATTTCTGTCTCTGTACTAAGGCGTGGCGATTTATTTATAGTTTAAATTTACTGAGATGGCCTTTTGATTCAATTATTCCTTTTCCGACCGCGTTATGGATGTTGTTAAACACCTGTAACTAATTTTCATCACATCCCATTAGATCGTTGATTTTATCAATTGACATTCCAATATGCTTCTTCCAACAATCTGATGAATACTTCTTCTCCAAAACATTATAAAACAACCTTTTATTTCTACGCATAAATATGCTGATTGTTCTGTATCTCATATTCTTTGTGTTAGTAGGTTGAATTCACTGCATTGATTGAATTCGGTACAAGTTGTGATTGGAATGGATGGGCAACATCAGAAGCAAAAGAACAAGTACAGTATAATTGTTCCTACATATAATGAGCGTCTCAACATTGGTCTCATTGTTTACCTAATCTTCAAGCACCTTCGGTAAATTCTCCATCTCATGATTATATCTGCTCCCTTTTAATTGTTTTTTCTTCTCTATTAGTGTATATATAAATCATATCATTTGTAAACGGAATTCTGAGCAAGTATTTTATGATTTGGGCATTATAAGCATGTCTATACGTAGAATGCAAAAAAAAAAAAATAGTAATTATTCTGTAATATATGGCTTATCCGAAACACAAAATTTTAGCAAGAAAATGCCTTTTTTCTTGGCAAATTTTTTGTTTATGCCATCTGAATATATGATTAATCATCAATGTGAATACCTTTTGTTTCTTAATTTAGGGAGGCTGATTTTGAAATTATCATCGTGGATGATGGGAGTCCTGATGGTACTCAGGATGTCGTAAAACAACTGCAGCAAGTTTATGGAGAAGATCGAATCGTAAGCAGTGACTTTTACAAATTTGATTTTGATATAAACACAGTTAGTCATCCATGATTTATTCTATTTTTGGGATATTATTTAGAGTAACCATGTTTATTCCTGTGGTTCCAGTTGTTAAGAGCACGGCCTAGGAAGCTGGGTTTAGGTATGTTCCTGACACTTGTACCAAATGTTTTATGATAAATTAGCGTTTGATGTAATTAATCTGCAGGAACTGCTTATATTCATGGCATGAAGCATGCATCTGGAAATTTTGTTGTCATCATGGATGCTGATCTGTCACACCATGTAAGTTTTATTAATCAAATGTTGAGGATAGTTTGAATTTATTAATAATAACTGTATACCTGTTTGTTTTACTATACGACTGTGATTCTCGTGCATTGCCCATGTTTCAATGTAAAATTTGTGGTTGAGTTTAATTTGGGTACGTAATATAAATTATGTTCAATGGTTCAAAGTCAAGTATACTTAACATTAAAACAAATGGCACTTAATCAAGCACAAAGCACTTTCCATCCAGAAACAAACAGGCTTTAAGTTTAAAAAATCAAGGTCTGGATGAAATTCTTTATAAGATTTTTAGTTTGGAGAATTTATTAGTTGCGGAATAATTTCTCTCTTATTTATTTTTCCTTTCTGATCTATTCATTTCTTTTGCAGCCAAAATATTTGCCAGCTTTCATTAGGTAAAGAAAGCTTCTAGTAATTTCTTTCTTGTTTCCTTATTACCTGGCACAATTTAATCCTTCTTTTCTGCATTTCAGCAAGCAGTTGGAGACTGGTGCTGATATAGTTACAGGGACTCGTTATGTTAAAGGTGGTGGTGTGCATGGATGGAATCTTATGCGCAAACTAACTAGCAGGGGAGCAAATGTTCTTGCACAAACACTTTTATGGCCTGGTGTCTCAGATTTGACTGGATCTTTTAGGTATAAAGCTTGATAATTGGTATTTGCAATTTCATGAGTTTCATTTGCTCCTCTGTTCCCTGGTTTGAGAGTGATGTATCATTGTTCTTTGTAGACTTTATCGGAAATCAGTGCTTGAAGATATCATTAGTTGCTGTGTTAGTAAAGGATATGTCTTTCAAATGGAAATGATTGTACGAGCATCCAGAAAAGGATACCATATTGAAGAGGTATGGTTTCTCAATTCTTGATTCTTATAATCAATATTAACCTGGTTGTTGTGTTGACTTTATAGATCTTGGGTTAGATATGTAGTTGCATTGTGTTACGATATAGCAAATGCCAGGTCCACAAGACACAATGCAACAAACCCTATTGGATGAAGGATTTTCATCTAAGAACCGGCCCAAATGCAAACAGTATCCCTTTTTCATTTCTTTCAGTTTTAAGCATTTTAACAAGGGCCTCCTGGAGAACCCAACAAACACTATTTAGGTCTACATTTTCATTGAATGACTTGAGAAGCTTTTTACTTACTAGTTTTTCTTTCCTTGTCTCAAGTGCCTTAGTGTAGCCATAACAAAGGCCTAGAGCATTTGGTATTTTCATTGCTGCCTCCATGCCTCCCAAACCACCCACCAAAGACCCGGGTGAAATCCTTCATGCTATTCAGGACTGCCTCTCTGCCATTCAAACCCACATGGAGTCACAAGACAATCGTGAAATTGAAATGGAACCCAAACATGAGAGCTTGCACCCCATCCTTTACCATCCTCATTGACCAGGTTTCATCGTTGTCCCCACCCCTTACTTTACCCTTGAGTTCACATGCTCATATTTCACCGCTCTAATGGATGACTCCCTAGGTCACGGGCCAAACATCAACATCTCTTCCCTATTTCATAACCCACTTGGGCCAGACTTACCAACATGCCACCACAATGTCCATTGAAGCTCACCTATCTCTGACCACCTCCCCCAGTTTCAAATCTGCCACCTAGGCCACC